TGCCGAATCTTAGAAAAATCATAACTTCCTCATACGAAGTCAGATTTGGACGTTCTTTTTATGAAAGCTCCCGGTTTAACGAATACTACAACTTTCATTTAGATTACTAAAGCTAAAAAGTAGTTTATTGAAAACTCACTTTTTACGTCATATAACGTCGTGTCGGTTCTGTCGTGAAACTTTAATGAGTCATAACTTCTTCGTTATAACTCAGATTTCGATGAGGTTTTCGCCTAAATGTTTCTAACGAGATAATCTACAACTTTTAATAACATTATTTTTACTTATTTCCAACTTTATATTTTTGTTAATTTCAATAGTTGACTTTTGATCAGAATCTCATAAGACTTCCAATATTTTCCGAATGATTCTAAACATAGTTTTACTTCAAATCACGTAAAAACTATCTTGTTAGAACTCAACGCTCAAAATCATATAATATTCAATAATATTCACTAACAATCTTACAAAATACGATAATTACACTAGGTTAATAACGCGTATGTTACAACATGGTAGCGCATGTGTCCGTGATCAAGTTGAATGGTCACCACATTGCAAATGTTTGGCCACAACATGGTGGCCTTCTGAAGTTGACTTTGACATTTGACTGTTGACTTTTTGACATGATTGACCTTTGGTCATATTGCTAGTTTTAGAAGGTAGACTAAGGGTTTACCTTGTATGATTTATTGGGAGGGGTGTAGCATTCACTTCTCGACTTTGTAAGCCTATTAGTTGTCGACTGCACTTGTGAGATGAGTCTTCTCACTATACTATGTAGGACACTAGGTGTCAGATATGCTTGTTGTCTTTGTTACTCTTGCTGATATGTGTGCATGAAAGTCCATGGAGAAGGTCATGGAAATTTTAGGAGTGTTGTAAGACTATGAATATTTCTTATAGCTTTCACTTGGGATGAAATAGACTCGTTGGATGAAATAGGCCGTTACGGGAGTGATTGTAAGTCTATGATTTTGGAAAATAGCATTTCACTTGGGAGGAAATAGGCCCGATGGCTTAAATAGGCCATATTGCATGTTTATGGT